CACACACACACACACACACACACACACACACACACACACACACACACACACACACACACGATGTAGCCTAGTGGCAATTTTTGTTTGTTTTTGTGTTTTTAAAATGAAATGATTTGTCTTCATCTAAAACAAAAAATAAGCAAAGTCAAGTGTTCAGTATGCCATAGATACCACCAACATACAGTTATGAGTCTGGCTGCACCAATTATTAGGCAGCTGGGAAGATTGTTCAGCAAGCTAATCTGAACTAGAGCCATATAGAATGGTTCATATTTTCTGAATTTAAAGCAAATCTTTTCTGTACAGCAGGGTTTAGATTTGATCAATTAACCTTTTCCTGGCTCTGCACATGATCGTAAATGTGACTTTACTGAGTATCCAGTACGTGCACCTTGTTCCCAGTATTATTCATTATATGACAGCCTCTTAGCCCATGAACTCCTTCTAGACCAGGGGTTGGCAACCTTTCAGAAGTGGTGTGCCGAGTCTTCATTTATTCACTCTAATTTAAGGTTTTGCGTGCCAGTAATACATTTTAACGTTTTTAGAAGTTCTCTTTCTATAAGTCAATAATATATAACTAAACTATTGTTTTATGTAAAGTAAATAAGGTTTTTAAAATGTTTAAGGAGCTTCATTTAAACTTAAATTAAAATTCAGAGCCCCCCAGACCGCTGGCCAGGACCCGGGCAGTGTGAGTGCCACTGAAAATCAGCTCGCATGCCGCCTTTGGCACGCATGCCATAGGTTGCCTACCCCTGGTCTACACCTTGATCTCCTCTGACACTTTTATCACCTTTCTCTCCTTTGGGCCCAGGAGGACCTTTAAAAGAATTGGACATGAAACACCATTACTGTAAATCATGAATTTCTTACATATGTGAAAGGATAGGCTTATCATTTTTCATTAGCAGTATTCAGAAAAAGATCAATCTGTCATTGTGGTGGTTCAACCACCATAACATTTATAGGGATACTACTGCATGCAAGTGATAGAAAACTAAGTATAGCCCTCATTTAGGATCCTTAACCAAAGACCTAGAGGTTGGAGCTTCTAAACCTTAATTCCATGTTTTGGTGGAATGCACAGGAAAGGAATTAAAGGTGGGGGAAGAGGATGAAAATGAAACAGCATAGCTACCTTTATGCAACTGAGTGAAAAAGTACACTGTCATAGCAATATTCAAAGCAACATATAAGAATATATTTATTAGAATGATGCCTAAAGAATTCAACAGAGAGGATATAATAAAAAGGAGAAAAAAAACTACATGATCTTTGAAACACATTTTACACCACTGTAAATGGTCAGGTTTCTTTCTAAAAGTATAAGCTGCTCAGCTGTCGAAGAATGGGGAAAATAATTACTTTTTTATCATATTTTTTTCAGCATAAAATCCGATACTTTGTGTAAATCAACTGCAATAATAAATATATATATGTTGCTCCATAATATACACATACCTTCACTTCTGTTTAGGTTTATTTTCTCTGTTTTTGAAGCCTAGATTAACCCTTCAGTTTGCTACTGTGAACCTGCAGCTTGCAATGTCAAACACACATTCTCACACTGGTTCCAATAAGAACCAGACTACTTTCTTTAATTCTTTAATAGTGTCAACATCACTGCAGGACATTGTTACATCATTTGACATAACCAACCAGAGCAACCCAAAACATTTGCAATTCTAAACATTACCATTAGATGGGTACATTGTATATTATTCATGTGAGTGTTACACCATAATAGGTGGTTTTGTTACAACAAGAAACATGAAATAGAGATTTGGATTTTTTTTAAAACTGAAAAATGTAAAGTATTTTTCTTTTGTTTCAGTGAGAATTTAAAAATAAAGTTTGATCTCATGAGAAAATAGTCTGGAAAAATGTTTATTTTTTCTACTTGTTGTTTGATCATGCTTTCATTTACTTCTTGATAATTTTTTCTAGCTTTTTCACATTAATTGTCTCTCTCAAGAATAATCAGCCTATAGACCTGAAGTGACAATTATCCTCACCATCTTCATTTGGAGTTATGGGAAGTAAAGTTAAAGGAGTGTGCAGTCCAATGTGTGCCTATAATTGCATTTTTAATCTACAAATTTAATAACTTTCCATTTTTTCAAGACTAATGCACTCTGAAAGATAATTAAGTATAAAATTGAGAAAAAAATCCAGACAGTCCTGGACATTTAATTCCCTTGGCAAATAGTCAGAAAGAATGACATTTAGGTCATTGTCCTGCATTGAAGAGCATGTGGGTGGATCTCAATTGAAGTCAAAGGGTGTCTGCCAAGTTTCGGGAGTTAGTGAGGAAGTTCTCAATGCAGAATCTGGCCTTCAGCAATCTATGAGCCTAACTCATCACAGTGATGTTCCAGCTTTTTCTTGTTGTAACACCATTGAAATCAAAGGACTTACACATATGTAAAACTGGAGTAACACAATGGCGAATCAGTGAGATTCACAAAAGGAATAGACATTTATATAAATAATAGCATTGCATGAATCAGCTTAAGGCTTAGTAATGCTCATGCTTCAGGGTTCACCAGCAAGGGTTAGGAATGAATTTACCCCTATGAAGTAGCATTGCCTCATTAGGCAAATATGAAGCATCCATCATAGGCCACTGCTGGAATCAGGATACTGGATTAGATGGACTATTGTTCTGTTCTGCTACAGTAATTCTAATCTTGCTAATAATTATTACCTACTTGAGTCTGTAAACACAAATGAGCATAACACTAAATTCATGAATTCAGGATTGGAAGCTATGGGAATTGACATTGCTTGAGAAATATGTCCTCTATTTACCATCACAGCACGTACAGGATCAGCAGTTACAGTGATAGCTTCCCTTATCTGTTTAAACCCCGTCCTTTCTTGCTACTTATGATAACTTTAAAATATTTTAACCTATTCTCATTACAAGAACCACCAGAAATTACCTTGCACTAATGTAATATTTTTTAATTCTACTGAGTGCTCCCAGTCTTTTAATCTGAGGTCATTTGTGACATTATTCAAAAGTTTCACTTCGCCTTTAATTTCCTGCTCCAGATTGCTTTGGTGTTGTTTTATGGTAACAATGGTTGCTGATGTGTTGTACCAATGATCCCACAGGTTTGTGATATCCTGTAAATATTAGCATCATTAGGTATTTCATTCTAACACTGATGGTCCAAGACTTTACTCATTTGAGTAATCCCTTTTAATTTTTTTTTACATTGTTTGGGATAGACATGGTAAATAAACAAAAGTGAGAAAAGAATCTGCCTGGTAGTAAATCAATTATACCAATGAGAAAAGACCACTCCCCTGAGCAAGGTTTCACAAGTTTTTGCCCCTTATTGATATTTAAGATATTAAAATGCATTGAAACTCAAATAATACTTTCTGGCAGTTCAGGATTTCTTGTGCAAATACAGTGTTGTTCAGTTATTATAAATCAGGTTATTCTTCCCCAGAACATTACCAAATTATTTCAAACTCTTAGTAGACTATGTCAGATTCTTTCCAACTTGACGGAGGTGGCCAAGATACACAATGCAAGGTGGATGGGATTTTCAGAAGTGCTCAGTGTTGGCCTTACTCTGCTCCCAATGAGGTCTGTCTATCTCACAAAATGCCATATAAAACTAGGGCTCCGTTCTTCCACCCTCACTCACGGTGAATAGTACTTTTTTTAAGCAGAGCAGCTGTATGCCATCCCTACTCCGTGGAGGGGGCATTCTGGGGAAAAGGGAGTCTTTGGGTATGTCTACACTGCAATTAAACACCTGCGGCTGGCCTGAGCCAGCTGACTCAGGTTAAGGGGCTCGGGCTAAGGGACTATTTAATTTGCAGCATTTTGCACATGTGTGAATAACTAGTTTAGAATCTGATACTTGGTTTTTAACATTTAGTTAAGTACAGTACCTGCATGGTTATGCTTGAAAACTTGCTGCAGAAAGAAGGGTACATTATATTTATCTAAAATAAATAGTCAATGTCTGATCGTTTATTATATTGACTAGTGTACAGGACTGTAGTCACTAGAAAGAGTCTCTGGGTACATTTTTTCCAAACTGCCTAAGTAACTTGGAAGTAGAATTGGGTGAAATTTTTTGGCCAATACTTTTTTTCCTCTGAAACATGCAGATTTGGATTGACCGAAACATTTATTGAATTCAAGTCCATTTCACTGAATTGTCTCAGATGAAAAAAAAAACAAAAGTTCTGAAAATTAAAAAATGTCAGAACAAGATTTTAACAAAATGTTTAGATTTTTTTATTTGAAATGACTTTTCACTTTGAAATTTAATTCACTTTTATTTAAAAAAATATTTTAAAGCTTGAAAATGAAGCAAGATGCTTCCTTTCAGGTCAAACAATATGTTTTGTTTGCCCCCAAATATATATTTTTTCAAATTTAAAGTTTGCCAAAAAATTAACAACAGTTTCATTTTGGTTGAACCTAAAATGTATTTTTTTTTAATTTTCCATCAGTTATTTGCAAAGCTCTACTTCACAGCCTAAGTCTCATTTACAAAAGTGATTTAGGCATTTAGAAAGCTATGTCCCATTGACTTTCAATGAGACTTATGCTCCTAAGGGACAGATTTTCAAAGATATTTATTTATGCCCCTAAAGATGCAGATAGATGCCTAGCAGGAATTTTAAAGCCTAAGTCCCATTGGGATGTAAGTAAATGAACAGAATGTTAACCCATCAACATGATCTCTTTGGGACAGGACGATTTTTCAAAAGGGCATCCTTCCTTTTGTGGATGAAAATTAGGATAATTGCACTAATTATCTCATGGTCAGGTGCAAATCAGGTAAGTAGAAAGAGGTCTAGGTTGTCTGATTTGCATATGTAGTTCATTTTCCTGGTGCAAAAATATGGGAATGAATTTTGCAGGTACAAATTGCACTTGCAGAAAGAAAAGCTGTTCCCTCTGCCCTTCTGAAAATGTATTCCAAAATTAGTCATAAGAACAACAATCTGACCATCTACGAGCTGTTACCTTTTCTTTTGCCAGTGGATGGGGGATCCTATCAATGCCTTAAATCTTGTGACAAAATCAATGTAGCTTCCTACCTCTCGCTGTTTAAGGAACACTCCTGTGTATTTATTGTTCCTGTCTTCTGCAGCAGACTGAACATCAGCTAATGTCAAATTCAGAAACCTAAACGAGATCTGAATATCTTCTATGAGCCTCCGAAAAACTTGCATTGCTAAGGCTGAGGTGTTAATCTGAAGGCCAACCTGCCAGAGCTTTTGTTCAGTTGCTGTGCTTAGATTTCGGAAATGCTCTGACTTTTGGTGAAGGTTAGTTTTCAGCTTTGAAATCTCTTTGGTAATTTGATGTAAAGCTTCAGTGTGAGCTATGATGATTTCTCTCTGCTCTTCTTTTCCTTTTCTTGCTTTGTCAGGAGAATCTCCATTGAAGCACCGTTGTATGTTATTCTCACTAACTAGATTAATGCCATTCTTCAGGTTCTTTTCCATCTCGGATACGTGAACTGAATAAAGTTCCAAGTGAAAATACAACTGTTATTGCTAGGTTCTTTGATTATTTAATCACACAGGGTTCTGAGATAATGAAATCAATAGATTAAGTATCAAGACTGTATAATTTTTTCTTAAAGAAATTATCCAGGACCTCAGCATTCCTCGTATTATGGGTTAAAATTACTTTGTTCCCACAGAATTGGCATGGCATATGAGATGATAAAAAATTTAAACAAACTCTATTGTAAGAGAACCATACTGACCTTTCTGAGTGTGATCTTATTGTTACCCTGGTCCTTTCCCTCTATCTTTTTGTTTGCCCATCAGTGACCTAATTTATTGTTTTGTACTTGTTCTTAAACCTCTATCCTGCCAGGACCTCCACATAGGGCCATGGTAAGAACTGACCAGGGAGCCCAGGCCACCCTGTCCTGGTGGTGTGCCCTGGGGGCAGGGACATGGATCAGGGGCTGCTTTCAGGCCCCCCCAACCCCCAGCCCAGGAGAGATGGAGGGTCTAGGGCTCCCGATAGAAACCTAGGTTCCCTACACGGCTCTTACCATGGTCCGGCTCCAGCTTCCAGCCTGGCCAGGGAGCAGGGGCTCGGGGCAAAGAGGAGCAGGAGGACCGGGGCCATTAAGGGGGACCATGCCTCATTATGAGGGGCAACTAAGACCCATCTCAGTTCCCCCACTGGGAAGAGGCTGGCACTGTGATCATCAGCTCCCCCGCTACGAAGTGCAGCCCCAGCCTACACTGCACTGCACTTGCCTGAGGCTTGCAGTTTTGGGGGACAACATGGCTACCTGACCCCCAAATTATGCCCATGTTAAAAAGTGGGCAGGCATGGACCCCTTGGTCCCCCTGGTTTTGACACCCCAGCCAGAGAGTTTCTCTCTCTCTCTCTCTGGTCCAATTAATATTTAATCATTATACAAAGTGGAACAGCTTCAACAGGAGGGACTGAGAGAGAGAAAGTTTTTACAGTCTGATAGGACACTCACTTGCGATGTTCAAATTCATAAGGCACAATTTTTTTCCACAGTGATGAACTACTGGAAGAAACTATGAAGGGAAGTGGTGATTTGAAGACATCAAACGATGGAGAAACCGAGACTGGGTGCTTTTCTGGAAGATATGGTTTAGTCAAACACAAATTATTGGATTCAATACAAGAGTAACTGTATGAAATTCAGTGACTTATGCACACAGGGGTCAGCCTTGATGAGCTAATGATCCCTTCTGGTCTTAAAATATATGAAATTATGAGAACTGCTCACTGGAAAAAAATCAGTGACATTTATTTAAGTGGCTAACGTTAAGGACCCAAGTTTTAAAATTTTGTCCTTGAGCCTTGGGGGTAGAGACCATGGATAAAAATATGACAAAATTCCCATTGATTTCACTGGGGCCGGGATTTCCTCCACATCTCTACTTGTTTCTGTGAAGTGGCTTGCACAATTTGGATGCTTGAAAAAAACAAGAATAGAAGTAATTAACACATTGAGCTTGTCTTAGTCCTTAAATGGAGCTCTTCTCTACTGAATATAGATTTTGCTTTTCAAATCTGACATATATTTTGAAGCAGCCATTGATAACGACTCTTTTGGTGAAGTTAGTGTTTTTGAAAGGTGCTGGATTAACAGCTAGGGATTTGAAGTCTTTTCTTTATTCAAAGAACATATACAGTCTAGGCAGTAGCATACAAATTTGCCAGTACTGCACACCAGTTTTCTCTCTGAAGGTCTAGAAAGACCACTTCTATCAAGGAAAGACTACTTTAATCTTTAAGTCCATTCAGTCTCTCGATAGGATGGCCAACAGGGGAGCCAATTAATATCTGTTGTGATGAGATGTTTCTGAGCCATTCACAGCTGCTCACTACTGCACACTTCTAGGATTTTTTTTTTACCCCCACTGGTAAACTTGTGGGTGAGTAAATTAATGGCCACAAGTGTTAACTGCCTTATGTGATACATGATGGGGCAGAGTTAAATCCTCTATGTATTGTGTCATCTCTCTAATTCTCAGAATAATTCTGAAGAGATATAAAGGGGCAGGCTGATTTTTCAGCATCTATTTCATTGGAGACAAATTCCACAACTTAATTCTAGATGCAGATAAACTGACACGTGCTTATTATTCATGCCAAGCAGACACAGTTGGTTCTGTATTGTTGGTGAAATGGGTGCTAATGCGAACTGAAAAAAATACACCCATTTTTAGAAATTTGTCAGCATTAATAGTCAGTGATTGTAGTTTACATGAAATGAAACATTTTCCGATCAATCAATGTCCACATTAAAAGTAGCTTGTTTGTAACTATTTCCTTTGTGTTTCCTTTAAAAGCTTTTTACTGGAAATGTTGCTTTGATTTCGTTGAATAGGACTGCAGAGAGATTCCAGATTTTCAGTGGTTGGTTCAAGGCACTGCATCCAAGCACAGTAAACATGTTCAGCCAAATGTATCCCTGATGTAACTTCATTGACCTTAGTGGAGTTACACCAGTGGTTAATCTAGCCTAATGGGTCTGTGTGACCATACGTGAATCAGGAAATAACAGCCTCATTGGAGAGAAAGTAAATAGCGCTTACACTAACTGACTAAATGGCTGTGTGTGTGTGGGGGGGGGGGGGTTTAAATATTTTTTGTGAAATATATGTTCTCAGTTCCACTATTGTGACTCTCTCCCCAGGCACATTTGCCCAGCTGAGAAAGAAACTTGACTGTAAACATATGTATGAAAACTGTTCTTGCAGGTTGTAACAGTTGCTAAAGTGATTTCTCCCAAATCTGTATGGAAACATGTATTGTAAATTTCCAAGCAATATGAGAATAGTGCCCTGGGTAAGTGGTTAATGCCTGTGCTGCCATCCAGCAAACTGGGTTTGATTCTTTCTCTCTCATGCTTCAGGCTATTGGGGAGGGGTGGGGGAGCTGTTGCAGAGTGAAGATATTCAGCTTGCAGTCCTAGAGCAGCACTTATAATACCAAATGTGATACTTGTGGAGAGCAAGAGCCTGATCAGGGCTCCCCTCACCTTTCATGGTCCCAGGCAGAAAGACTAAAGCTCTTCCCAAGATACACGTGAGGTTTCAGAGGGATACTGAGTGACTGATGCTAGTGGGATATTGCTGTATCTCTCTCAGTATCCGGGGTGATGGGAGAAGTTGGGGAGGGAGGAAAAAAGAGAGGAGGTGTTGCATAAAATGGAGTTCCAGAGAGCCTCAAAGTAAGCATAGTGCAGCATCCTGACCCGATTTGGCAATAGTTTCATTGTGGATTGCATCACTACAGCTGTTTGACATTTTTCAAATTTTTATTTTTAATAAGTTTTTTTGGAGAAAATTTAACACACCATTTCTCCCTTTTGGTCCCCTAATTTTTGGATTTTTAAATGATTTTTCAGTCATCTCTTGGTGACACTGAATCATAATGTTTCATCATGACAATTGGGGCTTGTTGAAAAATTTAGAACTAACTATTCTTCCATTGAAAAAAATAGATTTCGTCCACATTTAAATTTTCTGTGGGAAAAGACTGATTTTGGCAAAATATTCCACTGGGAAAATCATTTTTTTTTTTAGAGTCAGGTTGATATTCACCTCTGTATCCGCCTGAGCCACTATGGTGCCTCATGGTAGCTGTTGTTCTGAGTCCCTCCATCTTGAATGCTCCCCTTTAGGGCACACTCCCTGATGGGACTACATTACTTCTGATACAGGCCAGTCTATATGTGGCTGATATGCCAATATGCTTCTTTGGACTCCTCATGGGACAGGGAGAGCAAAGCATTTTCATATGAACTTTCCCACTGTCTCTGGGTTGCATCATGATATAGTGTGTATGAGGAACAAAATGCAATGCAGATCTTGATACTAGATAATTTTTCTTTTCTTGTCAGTTCTTAGAAAGTCCCATTTTAATTGGTAAAAAGAAAATTACAATAGTCTTAATGGTAAAAATGTATAAAGTGTATCATAAAAAGAAATGAGAATAATAAAAGAGTATTTTTTTTGTAGCAAAGAATATTTGAATGCCTCTCTGTACTCAGGATTTAATTAAGATGTACTGTAGGCTATTTATTTAATCTGTCAATATCGATTAAAGATTTGCCCAGATTTTTTGCCACAAAACTCAATAAATTACATCTTTTCCATAGTGACAATTTTGGTGTTCCATTTATATTTTATTGTGCTTTTCACAGCTCTGTCCAACCCACACACTTTTAATCTTTCAGTGTCTTTATTTGAGATTCCTAAAGGATATATTTACTTTAAGTGTTTCTTTTCAGGGCCGGATCCAAAGTCAATGGTTTATTTCCATTAACTTCAATGGTCTTTGGATCAGGCCCCCAGTCATTACACAAAGGAGTTCAGTTATTTACATATTAGTGTTTTCAGGAAGATGTCGCTTTGTCTTATTAGCGATAAAAAAAGCCAGTTACTTGAAACATATACAAGGGATATGTTTATTCAGCAGTAAAGAACCTTTCTGAAAGAGAGAGTAAAATATCACTGTAAAATTTGGGAAGTATGTACTACAAAACAGACATTATTTTAACATAAGACAGCTCCAGCAAGGAAAGAATTTTAATGGTCTTTAACCTTACACAGGGGAGTGTTTTTTATGTACAGAAATAATGCCCCAGTCCTGTAAGAAGCTCTATGTTGGTGGATTCTTCACTCATGTGGTGCCTCCATGGAAGTCAATGGCTCTGTGTCAGCACAAGTGACCACCTGTAAGCAGCTTGGAACTCCATGCAACAGCAGGTTGTTAATATTGTACTTTGAAACAATGTTCATGAACCATCAGAGGGCTCATAACTGACAGTTTTCTGTTAGATGGGATTAGTACATTTTAAGGCCTGAAGAGCCACACTGATCATCTAGTCAGACTTCCTACATAGGACAGATCATAGAATTTACTGCCCAACAATTTCTTCAGTGGAGGGAATTTATTTATTTATTTAGCTACATATGTGAAAACTATCAAGCCCAATACTTTGAGATGGAACTAGAGCATGTCTTTTAGAACGACATCCAGACTCCATTTCTAATCTCCAAGTTATGATGAATTTACAGCTTCCTTCAGTAGGCAGTGTCAATGGTTAATTAACTTTGCTGCTAAAATCTTGTGTCTTATTTCCAGTTTGAATTAGCTTTGGATTTTCACCTGAAGGAATTACTCAATTGTGCTCCCAAATGAAATGAAGGTTGGTTCTCAAGGGAGGCAGAGAAAGGCAAACATGACAACCAGTATATCTATCTTAGTGAACAAAGAAGGCAGCATTGTTTTTCTGGAGCAGTTACAAATATGGGTGGATGGACAGAACTGCTGGGGTTCAGTTGACCCAGGAGCATTAACCATCACTGCATTAAATTTGACCCTAGTCAAATCCTAAGTCATACTTTTGCTCTTCACTGATGTAAAAATAATTCCAGGTATAATCATGCTTTACTAAATCTCTTGTTTAATATTATCCATTCCTATTTGGTATAATAAATGGAAATTTTTACCTGCTAGTTTGATGATTACGAAGACAATGGCAAACACAAGCAGATAGAGAACACTGAGGGCAAGCATAAAACATTTCTGTTTCCCTTGAATATCCGTGAGCTTTTTTGGACCTGCAAAGAATTAGACATAGAGGGTTCAATCCCACAGCCCCTACTCAGGCAAGATTCCCATTGAAAATAATGGGAATTTTGCCTGACTAAAGACTACAGAAGGAGCCCAGAATATATAATATTACACTGTAATTTTTCTTGGTATTAAGAAATTTTGAACCCCCTAAAAAAAACTTTAAAATAATCATGGGCTATTAATTAAATAATAAAAATACTTCAGGAAACATGTTTTACAATTGATAAGCACTAGTGATTTGAATAATAATAAAAAATGTTAATTCTCACACTAAGACCAGTGGTCACCAAGATCACTAAGAAAGGTAGATTTGTCATCTGGTTCTCCCTACTAGATCAAGCACTCTTCTGACTCCAGTTTTCCTCTGAGATTTCTCCTTCCCGTACTCACCTTCCTTCCCTCCCACCCCCACAGTTCTTGATGTTAAAGTGCCATCATTGTTCCCCCCTTAATTGACCTAAGGAAAAACATATAATACACCCTGGTACTGTATTATCTTTCCCCTCTGGGGGAAAAAGGGCCCAGAAAGAAGCTACATCCGGGGCACACTCTGGTAGGAGGAACAAGGGATGGCACTAGAGGCCTGTCCAGTACAGAGGCAAATGGCCCCCAGGTAGATAAGCCGGGACTCATGCAGATAGCCACCCTCCATATCTGCCTGGTTTGAGGGGCTGATATATTCCACAGGGAAATAAACTCCAGCCCCTAATGGAAGAATTGAGAGGAAGTTAGTGAGGGGATCATTAGATAATTTCCTCAGAAAAAGCTCCTCCCTATGAGTTTTTCTTGGGGGTATGGGCAAAAGCTGGGATGCTGAAATTACCCTACGAAAGCTGGTAACATTATGTGACACCGTTAGCTGAAACAGTATTTCTTTTTAAACAAAAGCATATAAAGGAAAGATAAGTGAAGAACCCTCACTTATTTCTCAGTTTTAAACTACAGTAAGCATTGAATGCCATTGCAGTGGATTCAAGGAATAAGGTAGTATGATTAATTCAAGTTATAGTAGGGATATATTTTCAGTCCAAAGTCACCAGGTAAGACAGAGACTAAAAGAAAATGTATGGCTGGTTATCAAGTTTAAACTTTGCTTTCATTTTTTTTCAACACTCCCATATCAAATCTCTGGTGCTATAGTTCTCTTCATGAAATCCCTCAAGGATATTTATATTTATAATTTATATTACAATGACTGAATTACAAGAGGCAAATTAACGGGGTTTCGGTTTCAGTTTTTATTATTTTACAGTTGGGTATTGCATTGAAAAAGCCTTTTGGAATAATTGTTGCTTCTGAAAGAAAATAATATGTTTCTCTAATTTTGGGAATTTGGGTAGGAGACACATACCAAACTAGATTGCAGGAGTTCAGGTACCTCCAATGTTTTAGTACCTAAATATAATGGCCTTTGCTAAAGGGCAAATATTTTGATACACAGGACCAGATTTCAGATTCTGGCTTTGCTGACTGTCCAAACAGGCCATAAAGTCTTGTTAAGCAACTGAGAATTCCCCCAGCATGGAAAATTACATGGCTGTCTTAGAGCTGAGTCATCTCTTCCTGGCTCCAATAGAGGGAGAATGATGAGGGAGGAGGCGTGGCCAATACATTACCAGCCTATGGAACAGACCCTGTTGGGCCATTGAGAAGGAGCATTATCTAGTGTACCCTCAAGGAAAGGGCTGATCTAAGTTGTGCCATGAGCCAGATTGACTCCTGGAAGCTTTGGGGCTGGAATAAAGATTTCAATCCTTCCACACCATTTGTATGTAATCTTAGGCCACTGGATTTGTAAGAGCATCTCCACACAGCCACAATAGGCAGATGTCTAAACAGCATTCACATAGGACTTAAAAGGTGCAGATGAATTTCATCCTAAGTGAGTAACATAGTCAATATAAAATAAGTAATGTCTTTTCAAAAGAAAAATAATATAGGAAGAAGTGCATCATTTGTGTATTCAGCAACTAACAGAAGTTACTAGATCGCAGGCACTGGTTCTCATGGGAGACTTTAATCACCCTGATATCTGCTGGGAGAGCAATACAGTGATGCACAGACAATCCAGGAAGTTTTTGGAAAGTGTAGGGGACAATTACCTGGGGCAAGTGCTGGATGAACCAACTAGGGGCAGAGCTCTTCTTGACCTGCTGCTCACAAACTGGGAAGAAAAAGTGGATGGGAACCTGGGAGGCAGTGACCATGAGATGGTCAAGTTCAGGATCCTGACACAAGGAAGAAAGGAGAGCAGCAGAATACAGACCCTGGACTTCAGAAAAGCAGACTTTGACTCCCTCAGGGAACTGATAGGCAAGATCCCCTGGGAGAATAACATGAGGGGGAAAGGAGTCCAGGAGAGCTGGCTGTATTTTAAAGAATCCTTACTGAGGTTGCAGGAACAAACCATTCCGATGTGTAGAAAGAATAGTAAATATGACAGGCAACCAGCTTGGCTTAACAGTGAAATCCTCGCTGATCTTAAACAAAAAAAGAAGCTTACAAGAAGTGGAATATTGGACAAATGACCAGGGAGGAGTGAAATCAGGAAGGCCAAATCACACTTGGAGTTGCAGCTAGCAAGAGATGTTAAGAGTAACAAGAAGGGTTTCTTCAGGTATGTTAGCAACAAAAAGAAAGTCAAGGAAAGTGTGGCCCCCTTACTGGATGAGGGAGGCAACCTAGTGACAGAGGATGTGGAAAAAGCTAACGTACTCAATGCTTTTTTTGCCTCTGTCTTCATGAACAAGGCCAGCTCTCAGACTGCTGCACTGGGCAGCACAGTAAGGGGAGGAGGTGATCAGCTCTGTGTGGAGAAAGAAGTGGTTCAGGACTTTTTAGAAAAGCAGGATGAGCACAAATCCATGGAGCCAGATGCGCTGCATCCGAGGGTGCTAAAGGAGTTGGTGGATGTGATTGCAGAGCCATTGGCCATTATCTTTGAAAACTCATGGCGATCGGGGGAGGTCCCGGATGACTGGAAAAAGGCTAATGTAGTGCCCATCTTTAAAAAAGGGAAGAAGGAGGATCCAGGGAACTACAGGCCAGTCAGCCTCATCTCAGTCCCTAGAAAAATCATGAAGCAGGACCTCAAGGAATCAATTCTGAAGCACTTAGAGGAGAGGAAAGTGATCAGGAACAGTCAGCATGGATTCACCAAGGGCATGTCATGCCTGACTAACCTAGTTACCTTCTATGAGGAGATAACTGGGTCTGTGGATGAGGGGAAAGCAGTGGA